TTGCAGTTGTTGATAACATTGTTCATGACTAAAATTGCTATTATAAATATCACCATTAACGTACAAACTGCAGGTTGTTTCTCCGAGGCAAGATCAGCTAACAGACCCCTAATCCATGGACCAACTAGCCAGAGAATCGTAAACCAGAAACATCCTGACTCTCGAAACTACGATTAAGAAATGTCACAGAAATGTCAGAAGACGATGATTAATCCCAGCCTCTTTGTTCTTCCCCTTAAAAAAACCCCTAACTCAGAGACGATGTGGGAGTGGATCTGAGGCTTGTCTCTTTCTCCTTTACTTGCTGCTCTGCAGCAAATCCTTACTTTGCTGCAAACTCCTGCTGGCAGAGTTGGACTTTCTGCGTGATGGGCCCACAAGCCCTTTGCTCAGTGACAACAATAGTCGATAACACTTTATTGTATAATTGAAATTAGCCGAGAGAGTAGCACTTAGATTTTACTCACCAAAAAACTTTTCATCAAAAAAAAAAAAGATAAATGTGTGAGGTGATGGATGTGTTAATTAACTAGATGGGAAGAATCCTTTCACAATGGATACGTGTATCAAATCATCACGATGTACATTTTAAATATCTTTTAGAAGTAAATGTCAGAGAAATAAATAGCTTTGGGAAGGGGATGGCCCCAGCAAGAGGGTCTGGGGATGGACACAGTCGCTTCTCATTATAGACTCTTCTGCAGAATTTTTAAAGTGTATTTACTCTGTGCTTATTTGGGATTTCCTGAGTTATTTTCAGAATGGCTGCCTCATGCCTCCAAGTCCTCTGCAGTGGCTCTACATTCATCTATACAACAGCCCCTCAGAGAGCTATTCATAGAAGAGGCAGTATTTAGGGCTCCTCTCCGAACAGGTAAGGAAACTGAGGCCCCCCCCGTCACACAGGTGAGCCCCCGCCCTCCTGGAGACGCTCAGTTCATGCCCTTCTCCTGCCTCACAGCACAGTCTCCTTCTCTCAAAGCCAGACAGCTGTGAGAGTTTCACAGCTAGAGGAGAATGTTCACAGGTATTTTGCTTTTATTTGGAGAATGTGGTAGAGATGGAATTTGCAGCCCCTTTTTACAGGTACGGAAGGTGAGCCTGGGTGCTTTCCTCCAGTGCTGGGGCTGGTTTGGAGGAGGATAGTCAGGGCCTCGAGGAGGCCCGTGGGGAGGGGCAATCCACAGGTTGCTGGACTGCCGAGGAGGAGATGGGACCGGGGCAGCTTCTCAACGGAGCCCAGGCCCCCGAGGCATTGTGCGGGCACCGTCTCATCTCAGTCTCCTGCCCTGAAGTGCCATCCCTTTCTTAAGAGCTTCCCCCCTGAGATGAGTCATCCTCAGGGCTCCGGCTGGGGAAGGAGTGGACAAACCCATCTCGGGTACATCCTGGAAAAGCTGGAGAGGAAGAGGAAGGTGACTCAGTGGCTCAAAATGTGGCCTCTGTCTGCCAGCCTCTTCCTGAGGTGCTGGACAGAGCTCTGGCTGCCCTCCCCTCCCCAAACATTAGCAGTGGCCAAACTGTCTTTTCACCTGAGCTGTGGTGTCAGGGCCCAGGACCAGGTGGTTTCCTGAATCTTACAGCCAAAGGAGATAACACAAGGCTGGGAAGAACCTTTGGGAGGATCCGGTCTAAGCCAGGCCGGAACCAAGGCCCCACGCCCCCTGGTTTACTGCTCTTCTCAGGACTCCATGGTAATGGAGTAATGGTGTAAGGGTGCCTCTGGCCTGAGCAGAGGAGACCTAGGGAGGGCACGTCCTCTCCCTGCAGCCCTCAGAGCTGAGACTCTCTCCTCTGTGTTGAACAGATGGATAAATGGAATTCATAGGAATCTGCCCCACTTCTCCCCTAAAGGAGACCCACAGTTCTTCCTCCTTATGTATCCTGTTCTACATTTGAAAAACTCCCTAGGTTGTCTGATCTAAATCTCCCACTCTGCAATTTAAATGGAGCAAAGCCCACCTCACCCTCTGCTAACCGTCCCACCCTCCTTGCTTTGCTTTTCTAAAAGAAAATATTTATTTATTTTCTTTATTTATTTGGGTATTTTTGTTTGTTTTTTATTTTTGGCTGCGATGGGTCTTGCTGCGGCGTGCCAGCTTCTCTCTAGTTGTGGCCTGCGGGTTTCCTCTCTCTAGTTGTGGCACGCAGGTTCCAGGGCGCGTGGGCTCTGTAGTGTGTGGCATGTGGACTCTCTTGTTGAGGCGTGCGAGCTCAGTAGTTGTGGTGCAAGGGCTTAGTTGCCCCGTGGCATGTGGGATCTTAGTTCCCAGACCAGGGATTGAACCCACATCCCCTGCCTTGGAAGGCCGATTCATTACCACTGGACCACCAGGGAAGTCCCACTCCTTGCTCTTCCTTCCTACTCATCCCGGTGCAGAACTGGCTACGTAATTTGTGGGGCCCAGCGCAAAACGCTGGGACCTTTTTTCAAACATGATTAAGAATTCCAAGATGGTGCCAGCAGAGCATTAAACCAAGCGTGGTGTCTGTACAGGTTGGACACCCACGAAGTCGGCCCTGCCCTAGTATCAAGGGCAATGCTTGAACTCAATATCCATAGCTTTTCCTGAAAAGCCAAGTTGTCCAATCCCCTGCCTTCATGTCACCTGCCTTCCATAGGTGAGAATCTCCTTGAAGTTTCACCCCACATACCTTTCCTAGGATCTCCAGGCCTCTGCTTCACACACTGCTGGGAAATTCTTCTAAATGTCTAAATCTAACTAAGACTTAGCCCTTTACGCCTGTTTCCTCTTATTCTGTCCTCACTGTATATGGGGAACAGCTGGTCCTTTTGAGTAATTAATTCTTGTAGACTTGGACGCAGTCTGTAATTCCTTTTCCCTTTCCTCATTGGGCTGAGTCTCCAGTGCTTTCTCCAACTCTGTGTCCCTCCTCTGATGCCTTCCCCAGGTTCTCTGTGTTTTGTGGAAAGCATGGAGTCCACAAGAAGCCCCAAAGCACACCCGTCAGCGTCCAGAGGGCTCCATGCTCTGGAGAGGTGGGGAGACTCCAGCACTGACGAACAGCCACCCTGCACCGGGCCCCATCTTCCTTCTCCAAACCCTGCTCTCCTTTTATCTGTTTCATGAACTCTTCCCAGATAAAGTCCCCCATCCCCACTGACTCTCCCCAGCGATGCTCAGTTCTTGTCCATCTCGATGTTTCTGTTCTCAGTGTGTGTTTCAGACTGAATGCTTCCCTTGGGGAAGCACCTGCCCCCCGTCCTTCCACCTCTCAGGACACAGATCCGCGGGCTGGGATTGGGAAGGGTTTATCAGAAACCACAGCAAGGCATGGGGGAGAGTGGATATGAAAGACGGACACCAGCCACACTCCCAGTTCTCCAGCTAATAGTGTGCTAAAGCGGCCACTATAATCTGAAAGAGCAGATACTGTAATCCCATAGTCCTGCCTATTGGCTGCGGGACACAGTTCTGCCCTGACACTGAAGTTTGGGTGTGCCTTGGTTCTGGAATTCACAAGGCTCACAAGTTGTGAAGCAGCTGTGGGTGGGGGCTGGGAAGGGTTTCAGCAGAGGAAGTGAGGTCAGTCAACAACTGATGCTCGTCTGAGCCTTTAGTCATTGTCTCCCCCAGCCTCTATTCCTGTCGAAGAGGGTGTGGGGGGCTGGGAGGGATGCCCTGGCCCCTCTTACAGAATCCCCGTATTAGAGCAAGACACCTTAGAAGTCTGCCTCTGCTTCTAACACCAACATCTTTCCACCTGGCTCTGAGGCCATCATCTCCCCAACCTTTTCATTTATTAATTTAATTAAACACTTTCCTGGAGGTCCTGTGCCAGGCTCAGCCAGCTAGCATCTTTGCTATGAACTGAGATAAGCGTCATGTCCCTTCATTCTCCGGACAACCCTATGAGGCTGGCACTGTTTATTATGCCCATTTAGCAGATGGGGGACTGAGGCATGGAGAGGTGTCACTTGTCTAGGGTTATACAGCTAGTCTGGATTCTGACTTCAGAGCCTCTGTGGATAACCTGGAGGCTAGGGATAAAGTGGAGTCCAACCTTCAGGGTGCTCACAGTGGCTGGAGCAAAGCAAGACAACAGTGTCACTGTTCTGAGCCCAGGCAAGGGCATGAGGAGGAAGGGTTTGCTTCTCTCTCCAGGAGAAGCCATTCTGCTCCCCTCCCCAAAGCATATTGTCCGCCTTGTCCCAGCAGTGTCCTGAGGGAGGCTCCCCGTCCCCAACTCTAAAGCTCCATTTGGTGTGGTGAGGGGCCGGCCTCGAAGGGGGCAGTCCAAGGCAGTTCCCAGCCTCTCCCTCCATTCTGGCCGCCCGTGGTGCAGAGATGCATCCCTGTCACTGAGCTGTGCTATGGCTGGAGGGGCTCAGACCGTCACCCCTGACTCAGAGCTGCCCCATCTGGGCCTGTTTACCCTGTGCTGAGCGCTGAGCAGTGAGAGGCTGTGGAAGGGGGTGAAGGGGGCCGAGGGAGGAGGCTGAAGGATTTGGACAGACTGGGGAGTCCCCGAGGAGGGGGCGGCCGGAGCCAAAATATTTCGCACCCTGCCAGCCCCAAAGTCTGCCCTTGCTTCTGAGCCTCCTAGAAGGAGGAGCTGGAGTTTTGGGTGGGCACACAGGTAACTTCTCTCCATTCTGCCCTCCCCTCATGTCGTTCCCTCGGTGCCCTCCTACCCGTCCAGGATTCCAGGCCGCCCCTCAGCGGCTCTGAGCGGGGAAGGGGACCTCCACCTCCACCCCTCCCCCGGCCGGCCCTCGTACGGTGCCTAGCGTCCCAGCACTGGCCCCCACGGCTCTCGGCCTGAACCCCGCGAGACCCCCGCGGCCCAAGGCCAAGGCCCGCCCCCTCGGGGAGGCGGATGTGGGAGGCTGGGGGCGGGAGCGCGGCCTTGATCCCGGGCGGGGGCAGCCGAGGGGGATCCCGCCCTCGGGATGTGCAGCCGCGCAGGGGAGGGTCCGGCCCTGAGCCCTGGCGAGGGTCGAGCGGGCGGCCGTCGGCTAGCTGGGCAATAGGAAACGGTTTATTAGGAGGGAGTGGTGGAGCCGGGCCAGGCAGGAAGACGCTGGAATAAGAAACATTTTTGCTCCGGCCCCTTTCCCAGTCCCAGGAGGCCGCCGCGCCAGCCGCGCCGAGCCAGCCCCTCCCCGGCCCCAGCCCTGCCCGGGGCCGCGCCCGGACCCCAGACCCTGGCCCGCTGTCCAGCGCCCGTCGTGCGACCGCGGCCGCCGCCGGGGAGGGGAGGAGGCCGCCTGCTGCACGCTCGCGCCGCGCTGCCCGCAGGGCAGGCCCAGAGGTGAGTCGAGGTCCGCGGGCCGGGCCGTTGCGGGGGGGCGGCTGAGCCCAACCCCAGTGGGCCCTCCCCATGGCATATCCCAGAGAGACCCTCAGAGAGGTCGCCGTAGGGTCAGTCCCAGCTCCTCGTAGTGCAAGACGCCCCTCGCCCTCCACCAGCATCTGCCCATCACCCCACCTAAGACTGGAGGGGGCTGGACCGAACCCGCGCTGGGAGTCAGAAAACTTTGCTCCTGGGGCCCGTCACTTAGCTTCTCTCTTCTCTCATCCATAAAATGGGCAGAAGGATCCCTGCCCTCCTTCACTTACAGAGAAGGGGGTCACATGTCCTTCCAGGAACCTGGACTGACCTGGGGGTGGGTGTCTACTCCCAGCACTGTTGGGCCTCCCCTTGAAGCCCATCTTTCCCAGACCAGTCCTGGCCGCTCTTGCCAAAGGAATCTGACGCTACAACTCCCTCCTCCAAACCTCAGTTCCAACCCTGTGTGGTCAGATAATCCCCAATGCATGGACTTCCTTCAGGATCCAGGTCAGAGGGGATCCCAGTCTCCCTCCAGCCTGGGACCCCAGGTTTTCAGTCTGCCCTGGAGACCAGTGCTGTTATGACCATCCCAAAGCTGGCCACCCACCCCCTCTTTTCTTCTCTAAGGACAGGGCCAGAGTGGACGATAGCTCTCACCCTCTCTATATGGGCAGCTTCTGGCTGAGTCAGGGTCTGTCCGACATCTCTTACCCCTTACTGTTTCTTTGGCCTGGTACCTGTCCTCTCATCTTGTCAGGTGGTTAAAAATAGCTACCATTTATTGAGTACTACTATGTAGACACTTAGATACATTTTTGTCATGTAATCCTGGCCACAGCCTAGCAGAAGAGGTGTTATTATGTCTATCCTACAGAAGAGGAAAGAGATTCAGATTTGAATCACTTGTCCAAAGCTCCATGGATGGTTGGGTTTTTAGTAACATTTGTTAAGCGCTTACTGTGTACCACTTAGTACTCTGCTAAATAATTTTACTACATTATACCTATGAAATGAGCACTATTATTATTCCCCCCCCCCTTTTTTTTTTTTTTTTGCGGTACGCGGGCCTCTCACCGCTGCGGCCTCTCCCGCTGTGGAGCACAGGCTCCGGACGCGCAGGCCCAGCGGCCATGGCCCATGGGCCCCGCCGCTCCGCGGCATGTGGGATCTTCCCGGACCGGGGCACGAACCCGTGTCCCCTGCACCGGCAGGTGGACTCCCAACCACTGCGCCACCAGGGAAGCCCTATTATTCCCCATTTTTCATAGGGGAGCCGAAGCCTCAGAAAGTTCAAGTAACTTGCCCCAAATCTCATAGCCCTAAGTGGTAGAAGCAGGATTTGAATCCGGGTCTACATGATCCAGAGACCACAACCTGACCTCTGTGCTATACTGTGCTGCGTCTGCATTCTGTCTGAGATCCTAAAATCCAGACTTGATGCTACAGCCCAGTGCTGTGAAGTGATGCAGATGAAAGTGCTTTGTGACGGTTAAGGGGCAACCCAGGATGAGCAGCTCAGTCTGGTCCTCTGCTGTGTATGGTCCTCTGCCGATGTGCAGAGCAAGGCGCTTCCAGCCCCATGCCAGTCACTGCTGTGCTGAGCCACTGCTGCTGATGGGAGCCGGTTATATCAATCCTTCAGGTGTGCCGGGGAGAAAGGGATTGACATCCAGCTTCTGAGCACACCTCTGCTCTGCGTCTCCCCAACTAGGGCTAAGCCTACAGCAAACAGATGATTTCTAGACAAACCCGCATTTGGGCAGCAGGTGATGAGAGTTGCAGTCTGTTAGTGCAACCCCCGCTTGCTCTTTTTCCTCTTTTGAGGCACCTACCTAACACCAAACAGCTGCAGAAATAAAATGACCAAGTGAGGATTTATTACCAGCAATTTAACTTCATCAAGACATACCTGGTGATTCTGGGCAAGAAACCTGACATCCCCGAGCTTCCGTTTCCCTGTTGGATTGTCGTGAGGACTAAATGAGATCAGCCATCAAAGTTCGGTACTTAGCACATAAGTATTACTCAGAGGAGGTTAACTCTTATTACTAAGAATTTCACAGTGGTGAGTTAATATTTGAAATTAGTTTAGCATTTGTGATTTCTGGCTTAAAACTGTGATGCTCCGGTCAGCAGGAGATCTTTCAAGAAGTTTTGTTAGACATGAAAGGAGTCCACCAGTCCCCAGGAGTCTGTTTGTGCTAGAGTCAAGTCTCAGGGCGAATCAGGCAGGGTCAGCTCGGAGTTGGGACTGATCTGGACTCAGCACCCTCTTGTACTTAATCTTACGCCAGGCCCGGTTAAAAATTGGACAGTCGCGGTTTGCCTCCACTGCATTCCCAGGATTAGACCAGAGGTGGATTCTGCAAATGCTGCCAAGCCCTCCCTGCACTTTTTCCTGGGCCCCAGAGGCTGGACATGTCCTGAACAAAGCCCGCGTCCTGCCCTCCCTCCGCAGTGTCTCTGAGTCCCTGGTTTCAGTGTTTAGCCTTGTCTGTCCCTTCTCCAGTAGAAGGGGGGAGAGGTCCCCGGGTAGGAATTAGAGTCCCTGCCCCCTGCACTCCACTCCCACTCACCCAGCGGGGTCCTGCCCAGTGAAATGAAAGCACGGGGACCAGTCAGCACTGTGCAGGACCCAGTTCTCAAAGTGTGGTACCCACACAAACTGATCAGAATTACCTGGGGAAATTTTTTAAAATGCGTGTTTCTTACTGGTCCCAATGGACTAAATCAGAATCTGGAGTGGGGGTGAGACCAAAGAATGTGCATTTCTAATGAAGCGCTTCAGGTGATTCTGCTGCCTAATTGTGTAGGTGAGAGGGTGCACTGGAGCACAGAGAAGTGAAAGCATGGGTAGAGAATTCTAGAAGGCTGCCGGCCATCATCCTATTGTTACCCCCTTTGGCTTCTTGCTGCATACTCTCTCCCTGGCTGCTTTCTGGGCAAGGACTGCCAAGGATGGATTCTCGCCCTTACCCCAGTGGGCAAAGTCAGCTCGTCTGGGGCTCCCTCTCCAGCCACCAGTCCCACTGTAGAGTGCTTGCCAGACTCCCCACTGCCTTCTGGGAGGGGCAAGAGGCAGGAGGTCAGGCAGAGGCTGGGGACACAGCTGCAGCAGCCCAGGGCTCCGTTTCCTCCCCCAGCCCTGGGCCTCTGGGGCAGAGGAAGCCCAGGCAGGAAGGCCAGAGCTGCCACCAGCCAGAGAGGCCCACGAAGCGCCCCCCTCGCCCCCGCACGAGTCATCCTGCCCTCAGAGCCTCAGCATCATGGATCTTCATTTGGAACCATTCTTAGACTAGGGGCCTTCTGCCGCCTATATGGCCATATGCCCAGCCCTACCAGCCTTACCATGTCATGCCAGAAGACACTCCCCCTCCCTTGTGGCAGCTGCCCCTACCTGGGGATCCAGTCCCCAGGCACACACCTGCATACTCTCCACCATTCAGAAAGTCCTTCTTGCTGTCTGACCTCAGTCCTTCTTACTGCAGCCTCAGCCCTAATCTTCTCATTCTAAACCTTTGAGAAATGAAGAAGGGGGTGGCTTTTGAAGCACCTGGATGGTTTGGGAGCTGAGATGGGGACTGTTATGGATCAGAATTACTCCCCTAATGCTCTCCACCAAACTTCTGGAAAAGTTCAACCAGCCACAGAAGGTCAAACATTCAACATCTAAGTATGTTTCACTTCCCTTCGACATCACTGGCCCTACCCCCACTCTTTCCCAGGACGGCAAGGAGAGAGAAGGGGGCCGGGGAATGGCTCAGAGAGGGCGTCTTGTACTCTGATGAGGGTGCAGAGAGGTTCCTTCACACCTGGCACAGCCCAGCACCGTCCAAGCTTTGTATGGTTGTTACAACCCTGAGGGCTCAGACATGGGCTGCCACCCTGGATTGGGATATGGAGTAGAAAGACACTGGACTGGGAGTCTGGACACCTGGGTGGTACTCCCGGTATTGCCCCTGAATCCTGCCTGACCTTGCACAAGCCTCCTCTCCTGACTGAGCCTTAATCCCCATCTTCTCTAAAATAAGAGCTGGGCTTTGTGATTCACAAGGTTTCCTCCTAGGACTCTATCATGGGGGTGCCCCAGCCCCGGGTGGCCCCTGCAGACCCTGTAGCCACTCCAGCCTGCCCTGAGAATATGTCCTGCTCCCTGCTTGTGCGTGACTCCTGCCTGTTCTATCCAGACCCCAATCTAAACAATCTTGATTCCTGTTCCCAGCTTGGCGGGACCCTGAATGGCAGGAAGTGAAGACAGGAGCCTGTTTATGTTTGAGGCAGCCAGGCCGGGGGGTGGGAGGGCGGGGGCACTGGGAAAGGGGTGGGCAGGGGTGGAGGCTGGGAAGGGGGGAGCAATGGGGCGGGGGACAGAAGGGTGGTGGTACTGCTGAAGAGATGTCCCTTCTACCCTAGTCCCGTAGTCTCCTTCTGCCCTCTGCACCCTCCAGTCTGAACTCAGCAGCAGGAGAGCTGGGAGTCCCCCAGGCTCTCAGTCACTTAAACATGGCTCCCCACCCTTTACCCCTAACAGGATGGTTTCCATGGGGAAGTGAACCAGGACTTCCCCTGCAGGCCCCTCCCCAAAACCAGACACAGGGAGGAGGGAGGAGGCCTCCCTGCCCCCCCCAAAAAAAAACTCCCAGTGATTTCCTCTGGGTGGGAGGGACCCACGGTCAGTGGCTGAAAACACTGAAGGGATCACATTTCATAGACGTTATTGCACCCCTTCTCCTTTCCAGGGACCATGACCTTGGACCCTCCCAGGAGAACACTTCTGATGCTACTGACGGCCTTGGGCCTGACCCAGGGTGAGTACTGGGGAGCAAGTATGGAACAGGGGCCTGGGTGAAGAAAGAGCTACCTGGGCTCAGCTCTTGTTGGGCTGAACTTGAGGAGCTGGGGAGGAGGGGGACTTAGGAGCTTGGCTGGAGGGTGGGAGACGGGTTCAGTGGGACTAAGCTCCCGGCTACCCCAACCCTCCCGTGCTGTCCTCCTGATCCAAACCCGCAGACTGCTGCTCTGTCAGACTCCAGGGTGGGACCTCTATCTGGGGGTGCGGGCAGTGGGGATGTTGGCAGGGAGGGCCTGGGAGAGCCCTCAGAGTTGGGCCTGGGGCTGGGCTGGGCCTGGAACTGGGAGGGGAGGTCCTAGGATCAGGGAAGGGACAGAAGCCTGGTTCTCCTGGTGGCAGCTGCCCCTGGCAGGGATAAGTCACTGGAGGGAAGGATAATCTGAGGATGGAACTGAAGGACCAAGGCCTCAAAGATTTGAGAGCTCAGAAGCTGGGGGTGGGGGGTGTGTGTGCAGGGGGCAGACCTGGGTATTAGGCTCATTCTGGGGAGTTGGGCCCAGAGCAGCTGAGCTTCCAGTGTGTCTCCCAGGCGACCCCGTGAAGCCCTCTCGGGGCCCACTGGTGACCTGCACGTGTGAGAACCCATACTGCAAAGGGCCTACCTGCCAGGGGGCCTGGTGCACAGTAGTGCTGGTGCGGGAAGAGGGCACACGCCTCCAGGAACATCGGGGCTGCGGGAGCCTGAACCAGGAGCTCTGCAAGGGGCGGCCCACCGAGTTCCTCAACCACTACTGCTGCTACAGCCCCTTCTGCAACCACAACGTGTCCCTGGTGCTGGAGGGTACGTCCAGCTGCTCCAGCAACCCCTCCCTGTCTTCTCAGACTGCCCTCCCCGCCCTGCTTGCCTCTCGTGCTCTGTCCTGGAGGGCGGGGGAGGCAGGGCCCTGGGATCTGACTGGCAGAGTGGCAAGGTGGGGGGCGTCTGGCCTGGTGGAAGCTGGGTCTCAGTGTTCCTCCTGTGCCAGCCACCCAGACTCCGCCAGAGCAGCCGCAAGAAGATGGCCAGCTGCCTCTCATCCTGGGCCCTGTGCTGGCCTTGCTGGTCCTAGTGGCTCTGGGTGCCCTGGGCCTGTGGCATGTCCGGCGGAGGCAGGAGAAGCGGCGGGGCCTGAACAGCGAGCTGGGCGAGTCCAGCCTCATCCTGAAGCCATCCGAGCAGGGGGACAGTGTGCTGGGGGTATGGGACTGGGAGAACCGGGGCACAGGGTGGTGAGGGTAGACAGGAGACACAGAACCAGAGGGGACCCAGAGTGGCAGGTAGCCGAGAAGAGCACGATGGCGGGCGCTCAGAGATTTGACTGGGCGCTGGACGGGAGGGGTTGGTGAGTGAGAAGCCTGGAGAGACACAGCAGTGGGGCCCAGGTCGAGGAGGGAGAAACGGGTTGGGCGGGTCGTGGCTGCCCCTCAGTGGCCTCTCGGTACTCCCAGGACCTCCTGGACAGTGACTGCACCACCGGCAGTGGCTCAGGGCTCCCCTTCCTGGTGCAGAGGACGGTGGCGCGGCAGGTCGCTCTGGTGGAGTGTGTGGGTGAGCAGTGGGTGAGCCCGGGGGATGCGGACCGAGAGCTCCCATGAGCTTGGAGGGGTGAGGGAGCTCTTGGCCTCCGGCGTCACAGGTGGGGCCAGGCCTGGCTCTGAATGGGAATTCTGCTGGCCAGGGAGGGGGTTGGAGATGGGTCAGTGCCAGACCCTTCTGCAGGAGCTGGGCTGGAGCAAGAGGCAATGGGGGTGGCCTACCGGCTGCCTTTGGGTCTGGATTAAGTTAAAACATAATCATCAGAGGTTCTGCGGATGAAGTCAGTGCAGCATAACGATGGGGACTCTGCTGGGGATTACTGTGCCCACGGGCTCTGTGTGTCCGGTATGTGACCCCCCCCTGCTTCCTCTCCGGCCGTCGGATCAGGAAAGGGCCGCTACGGCGAGGTATGGCGGGGCCTGTGGCACGGTGAGAGTGTGGCCGTCAAGGTCTTCTCCTCGAGGGATGAACAGTCCTGGTTCCGGGAGACTGAGATCTACAACACGGTGCTGCTCAGACACGACAACATCCTAGGCAAGCGGGAGGGTGCTGTGCCAGGCCCCCGGCTCTCATCCCGCCGCACTCAGGGCTGGACCGCCACCTCGCCTCTGGACACTGACCTAACCCTGAAGGACTCCCAGCCGGCCCTCAGCTTCCTCAGCCCTCTGATTCCAGCTTCCTCTCTGACCTAAGCCAGACGAGCCTCCACCCCAGCCCCAGCTTTGCCCTGACCTAGTGCATCCTCTGTCCCCAGCCCTGACCCTGACCCGTCGAGCCTCCTTCATCCCTAGACCCTTGGTGAGCCACCTGACCCTCCGCCCACAGGCTTTATCGCCTCGGACATGACTTCCCGCAACTCAAGCACACAGCTGTGGCTTATCACGCACTACCACGAGCACGGCTCGCTCTACGACTTTCTGCAGAGGCAGACGCTGGAGCCCCAGCTGGCCCTGAGACTAGCTGTGTCCGCGGCCTGCGGCCTGGCGCACCTGCACGTGGAGATCTTCGGCACGCAGGGCAAGCCGGCCATCGCCCACCGCGACCTCAAGAGCCGCAACGTGCTGGTGAAGAGCAACCTGCAGTGCTGCATCGCGGACCTGGGTGAGCGGGGAGGGGCGGGCCCTCGCGGGGGGCGGGGTCCGTGAACTCTCCCTTTCCACGTGGTACTGCCTTTGCTCGTTTGGTTGCCTGGCGTTGGTGATGACACTGATTGGCGCTTTAAAACTTAACAGACACGTGTTTGGTCTCATCTCATCTCTACAAGAGCCCCACAGGTTGCCTTAACGTTCTTTTCAAGCCCAACACCAGCCGAGCTCCAGGAGTTAGGAGAAAGGGGCAGGGAGCCAGCAACCTGGGTTCTCATCCTGGCTTCGCTGACTACATCGCTTCCCGTCACCAGGCCTTGGGGTTCAGCTCTGTGAAATGGGCATCATAATGCCTGCCTCCCCTACTCACATCTCGCTGGGTTCTTGCACCTAGAGGGCACCACACAAGCACAGTGTAACTGGGACAGTTATTCTCCCCGTGGCTGCTGTCTCCCAGCCCACCTCAGGGCGGGTCTCCATTTGCCGGCCCCTCTTATGTCCTACCATCTCTCTCCATCCCACCTCACCCCCGGACCCCAGCCTCCCAGGGGCCACCCTGTCTGTGGGCTGGGATGAGTGGCAGGAGTGACAGGCCCGGTACCCACAGGCCTGGCTGTAATGCACTCCCAGGGTAGTGACTACCTGGACATCGGCAACAACCCGCGAGTGGGCACCAAGAGGTACATGGCCCCCGAGGTGCTGGAAGAGCAGATCCGAACCGACTGCTTCGAGTCCTACAAGTGGACGGACATCTGGGCCTTTGGCCTGGTGCTGTGGGAAATCGCCCGCCGGACCATTGTGAATGGTGAGGATCCCCACTGCACAGGATAGGGAAAGGGGAATAGGGTGGGTGGATAGACAGGCAGGAGATGGGACTTCCTGCCGTGGCTGGTGCCCATGGCCTGAGAGGCTTGTGGTCAGACCTCCCATATTCCCTTTACTTGCCACTCACCAGCTGGTCCAGCGGAGTGACCTTTTAAGGTTCATCTGAGTCTGATTCTGGCTGTGAAATCTTGGGTAAGTGACAATAACAAAAGTGTTAAGAGCAGCTAACATTTATTGAGTTTCAATATGTGCCAGATGCCACGCTGTATACACGTATTATCTTATTGAATCGTTCTTTGTTGGCAGGGAGGTGGTATTGCTTAGTGGTTAAGAGCGTGGGTTGGGAATCAGACTGCCTGAGTTCAGTTCCTGATTTTGCCGTGTGCAAGGTACTTAACCTTTCTGTCCCTCTGTTTCCTCATTTGTAAGATGAGAATAACATAATTTCTAGTTGTTGAGATAATCCAAATAGGGTATTCAGGGCAGTATCTGGAGCTGTTCTGTAGCTCAGTAAATATTAGTGGCAATTATTGTTGGAATGACGCATGCTTGACACAGTATCATCCCCACTTTACAGATGAGGGGATTGAGGCACAGAATTACAGCTGTCTAGAGGCAGCACGGGGGTCTGAAACCAGGCATTCTGACTCTGGGGGCTCAGTGCTCTTTATTACCATGCTTTTTCTACCTCTCTGGTCCTTGGTTTCTTTGACCAGAAAAATGCGGGGTATAATAGCGCTTGCAGTGCCTGCTTATTACTGCCTTATTATTATTATTAGCCAAGCCGTGCAGCATGTGGGATCTTAGTTCCCTGACCAGGGATCGAACCCGTGTCCCCTGCATTGGGAGTGTAGAGTCTTAATCACCGGACTGCCAGGGAATTCCCTGCTGCCTCTTTATTACCGTGGGTGCCACAGGGGACTCAGATTTGGAGGGGCTGAGAGCAGGCGGGGGGACCTCGTTCCTGACGGCCCCACATAGGGGGCCGCCCTGTGGCTGGTTCCCTCCCAGCCCTGGGGTGGATGAGTGTTGGGTGATGGTCTGGACCAGGTGGGGAGGTGATCAGTCTTTGTGGAGGCTGTCCATGGGGAGAGGCTGCTGGGAGTCCTGACAGGTTGGGGACCACCCTCTGGATGGGCTCAGGTCCCTGCCCCTTCAGACATGAGCTCTAGAGGCTGGGGCTGGGGAAGGGGGCACCTGGCAGGAGCCGAAGCCCCTTGGACCAGGCTTCAGGCGGGAAAGGGAGGCTGGACCAGCCTGGGCTGAGGGGGAGGATGATTGCCGACTCCCGGAGCAGAGGGAAGCTCTGTCAGCCCCACACAGATTCGTGGTGCATTATAAACACTGTAATCTGGTGTCAGCCCCGGCGCTGATTAAAGGCCCATTAGACACGCTCAGGCCTCTGTGCAGCACTGATTAGGGCTCGAGCAGCACAGGGGCTGGCCTGGAAGCCCGCCATGGGGAGCACAGCTGGCGTGGGCCCTACCGAGGTTGTGGCTGTGCTGTGTGGCCGCGGCTCCCAGCCTCTGGGGCTGGAAGCAGGGTGTGGCCTGGGGCGCTTTTCTGGGGTCTGGCCTCTTCTGCCCCAGTGCCTGCAGCTCCACAGGCATCATCTTCAGAACGCTCCTGCTAAGGACCACGTACTTGAGATAACGAGGGGAGGGGGCGCTGCTGGCTGAAGGGGGTCAGCAGAGGCCTGTGCCATCCCTGAGAGTGGATGGATGTGATCTGGACCTGGGTGAAAATCTCTTTCTCTTAGGAGATGTGTTTTCTCCCCCTTTCCCTCATTCCACATCCTCATCCAGCAGTCAGCCAGCCTCCCTTCCCTAAGTGTAGCTTGGAGGTCAAGAGCATGGGCTTTGTTTAGACTTCCTGGGCTTAAATCCTACCTCTGTCACTTACTACCTGTGTGATTTTAGACAAAGTCCTTAACTCCTCTGGACTGAATTTCATTGCTTTTATAAAGTGGAGCTAGTCGTATTGCTTACCTCATAGAGTTGTTGTGAGGATTTAATGCCATGCAGTTAGGACAGTGCCTGGCACATAGTAAGTGCTCAGTGAACATTAGGTATTTGGGGGCAGCTGTGATAGTTGGGGCCTGGGAGCAGTACCCAGGCCCTGGGTGGGAGGCAGCTGTGGAAAGACTGGAACAAGATCTGGCCTAGGAATACAATGAGTTTAAGTCTTGGCTCTGCCATTACTAGCTGTGTAAGCTTGGGCTCAACTTCTCTGAGAATCAGTTTCTTCATCTGTAAAATGGGTCTTTGGGTTGCTGTGAAGACTAACAAGATAATGCATGTAAAGTGTTTATGGCACAATGCCTGGCATATATGGTAAATGTAAAATAAATGGCAGTAATTATTATTATTTATAAATATATTTATTATATTATGGTGTCTCTCTCAGGGGTAGCATGGCCAGGCAGCTGGTTTCCTGGGCCCTGGGACAGAGGGTGGGCAAGGCTCTCCTCTGGGTGGTATTGGGCCTCCTTGAGGTCCCAAGTGACTGTCCCATTGCCCTCCATCCCTAGGCATCGTGGAGGACTACAGGCCACCCTTCTACGATGTGGTGCCTAATGATCCCAGCTTTGAGGACATGAAGAAGGCGGTGTGTGTTGACCAGCAGACCCCCACGATCCCCAACCGGCTGGCTGCAGACCCGGTAAGGCCTCTCTGGTGGGGCTGGGATGGTGTGGGGTGGTGGCTCACAGCTGGGATTTCTGAGCCCAGGAACTTGTGTCTGGCCTCTGCTTCACCTGGATAGATTCTGGGGGACAGATTCCAGGGTACTTCTCTGGGTACTCCCTCCCACGTCCCTGCCCGTGGATCTCTGGGACCCTCTGGTTATTCTGGTAACCAGAACCCTTCACCTCGCCTGAAAAGTCAGAGGCTCTCTGCTGCATTTCCTGCCATGGAGTTTTTGTCGTTGTTACTCATTTTTGTTCTTTCTCAAAACACTCCATGTACTTATACAGGACACATGCACACATGTATATAGACACACAGGGGCATGCACACGCTTCTACACAAACACACACTCACAGGTACACACACATGCACATACATGCCAGACTGTTGACCCCACGAAGAGGAAAAGCATGTCTCCTTTGCTGACCCTTATCTCCCTGTTAACCTGTCACAGGGCCTGGCACACAGCAGGTACTCAATAAATGTTTATGGAAAGAATTAATCCACGTACACATGTGTATACATGTATGTATACATAGACACGTGTATATTTCTGCACAACATACAGAGCCACAAAAAGCCACTCATATGCACTCCTGTGCGCACACACATACACTCTGTCTTGGGAACCGGCTTGAGCTCTGAGGTGGAGTGAGGCTGGCTCACTCTGGGACCGCTGAGCTTCCTGGGATAGGTTCCTCCCTAGACACATGCATTTTGAGGACGCAGCCAGGATTGGTGGAGGTGCTGGGAGCCACTGCCCTCTACACTGGGGTCCCGCTGCAGATGGGCACGTGGGAGCCCCGAGGCTTGCAGATCTCCCCTTTCCTGGATCTTGCTGGGGGTGAGGGTGGGGTGTACTCACCAGAGGGTGTCCCCGAAGGTCTGAGTTACATCTCTCCTTCCGTCCTGCCTGCCTCTCTCCGTCCTCCCCTCACTCCACTCCCTTCGTCTTCCATGTTCATCTTTCTTTCTCATCCTTGCCTGCTTCCCACCATTCTCCCTCTTACCACCACTTCTGTCCGTCCTCTCCCCCTCCTTTTCGACACTCTCGTTTCCGCCTTCTCATCCTTTCTGTTCTGCTCTGTGTCTCCCCACTACTGGGCATCCTCCTCGCCTCTTCCTTTCCACCTTCCCTGACCCGTGTCTCTGCTTTCTCTCCTCTGCTTTGCTCTCCCTCCCCCCAGGTCCTCTCAGGCCTGGCTCAGATGATGCGGGAGTGCTGGTACCCAAACCCCTCTGCCCGCCTCACTGCGCTGCGGATCAAGAAGACGCTACAGAAGCTCAGCAACGGTCTCCAGAGGCCCAAAGTGACTCACTAGCCGCAGGCCTGGAGCCTGGCTCCCCTCTGCCTGCAGTGTGTGTGGTGGGCAGTGGATGGTGGCCTGTCTGGGTAGAGGTTCCGTGAGTGTGTGTGCTGGGGAGGGGAGTGCCCCTCTGTGGGCAGCTGTGCCTGCTCAACTCGGCCCCCAGCCCATCCAGCCAAAAATCCAGCTGGGCTGAAACCCGATCCC